TGATCGAGTCGGTTACTGAAGCTTGTGCATTTGTCACATATTTCTCGTGTCATCGTTTTTATCTCTGTCATTTCGTTTATGGCCTTCTTTGCATTGATTGTTCTAGTTATCTATTCTTCCATTCTTTTTTCAAGATTTTTAGTTTCTTTGCGCTGGGTACATAATTCCTCCTTTAGCTCTGAGAAGTTTGATGGACTGAAGCCTTCTTGTCTCAACTGGACGAAGTCATTCTCCGTCCAACTTTGATCCGTTGCTGGTGATGAGCTGCATTCCTTTTGAGGGGGAGATGCGCTCTTATTTTTTGAATTTCCAGCTTTTCTGCCCTGCTTTTTCCCCATCTTTGTGGTTTTATCTGCCTTTGGTCTTTGATGATGGTGATATACTGATGGGGTTTTAGTGTGGGTGTCCTTCCTGTTTGTTAGTTTTCCTTCTGACAGTCAAGACCCTCAGCTGTAGGTCTGTTGGAGATTGCTTGAAGTCCACTCCAGACCCTGTTTGCCTGGTTATCAGCAGCAGAGGCTGCAGAAGATAGAATATTGCTGAACAGCGACTGTTCCTGTCTGATTGTTGCTCTGGAAGCTTCATCTCAGGGGTGTACCCTGCCGTGTGAGGTGTGGGATGTCGGTCTGCACCTAGTGGGCAATGTCTCCCAGTTAGGCTACTCAGGGGTCAGGGACCAACTTGAGCAGGCAGTCTGTCCGTTCTCAGATCTCAGCCTCTTTTGTGAAACTTTATGTGTGGGTGTATGCATGCACAAACACATACGAGATCAGCAGTTTTATTTACTTTTTTTATTACTCTGTCATGTGGCCATGGAACAAATATTTTTCAATGACAAAATTTAGTAGAAAAGGCTCTGGAAATTAAGAAAGCCAATCCATGAACACCTAAAACCATGACTTTTAAAAATTACCTTCCTTGTGCATACTCTTTATTTCAATTCAATTCTACAGATAGATGTAGAATGTGCCTACTGTGTGCTGGGCATTATTCTAAGTGCTCCAATATAGCACTGATAAAAAGGACAAAAACCTTTTTTCTCAAGGAGTTTAGAATACTAAGTGGTAGTCAACAAACAAATAAATACTATATGTTATGATAGATGGTAAAAAGCCCTAGGAAAATAAAGCAAGGCAAGTAGTGACACAGTTCACTTATTAGTTCTCTGTTATCCAGGGACTGAGAATACAGTTTGTTAATTTATTGACCCTGCTTCCCTGTCTTCTGGACATTTTTTATGTCAGTCATTCTTACTGTTAGTTGAAGTCAAAGAAACTCTAATCTAGAAATTGTTTACTTGGTTCTACTTAGGGAGTGGGTAGTAAATAAGTCTTTCAAAATTTGATGCAATTATCCAAAATTAGTGAATGTGTGTGCATTTTTCTGAGATAAATTTCTATACTTTTCATTCAGTTATCAAATAGTCTGTGACCCAAAATATTTTAGTGGTGACTCTAATTTATCCTTTCTTCTAGCCACGTGGCTAAGTAGTTTTGTGAATGAGTAACACAGTCTTGATTAACATGAGGTTTGCAGGTAGCCTTTGTGTACCTATCTCTAGTTAGTAACTTTTAAAATTAGAGTTATATCTTTTTGTCAGATGGCTTTTTAATAATCTTCTAAAATGAATATAATAATGTTCTAAATGTGTTTAAAATATGCAATTTTGTTTGTACTTTTAAAATCAAAATACTTGATAGTTTCTTGTGTGATGATATATATTTTAAGTTGTATTTTCCAAAGACAATTTATAATATCAACAAGGAAGGCTAACTCATGGCCTGATATAAATACACACATATCTAATTGGGGAAAGAATATACAGATTGGACAGAACACCTAATTGGAGAAATTGGGAAAGGAAGTGCCACTAACTCAATATTTGACAATGCACCATTTAACCCTTTACAACTTAGTGAGGCAGGTATTATCGTCTCCATTTTGCAAATGAGAAAACTGAGGCTCAAAGAGGTGAATAGAATATGTAACTTGCTTAAGGTCAATTAGTATGCAACTTCACAGCCCACACTCAGCTGCCACTTAGCAAACCAAATGAAAGCTAGGGTAGTGTTTACTCATTATAAAAAGGATTTCTGGACATGCTTTGGCCTGCAGATAATATTGTATGTGTGACAGGTGGGGGGTGTGTGTGTGTATGTATGTATGTATGTATGTATGTATGGATGTATGTATGTATGTGTATGTGAAGAACCAACCAAATATTAGCTCTATAGGTTGCAATCCTGCCTCCTACCAAAGCCATAGCCAAGTGGAAATAAAACTTTTTTTTCTTCCTCTTTCATACATTCATTTTCATGTGAATACTTCTCCTTGAAAGTTTGTGTATGTTATATGATTGATCACTTGTCTGAGAGGAATCTTTAATGTTGACTCTGTCAGAGGCTGTTGTAGGTCAAAAGGATATAAAGGTGAATAAGACTCCAGCTGTCTCCTAATGGAGATTACACTCTACTCTGAGGAGATAGACATGTAGACAAATTATTGCAATAAACGGATCTAAATGTTAATAGAGAAAGATATAGAGTGCTGAGGGAACAGAGTAGCAGACTACAGAGGGAAGGGAAAGGAAAAAATAACAGAGGAGGTGACATTGGAGCCAAAGAAGAGATATGTGAAACAGCGTAGTGTGTTCTGGGAATCTTATTTGGTTCACTGTGGCTAAATTATAGATAATTAGGAATATGTTTTAGAACATAGGACTGGAAAGGTTGTTATCACGTCCTGAGGGGTTTTGTATACTAGACTTAGGACTTTAGAGTTTGGATTTTATTTTGTAGGTAGTAAGGAGCTATTGGAGACTTTTAAGAAGGGAAGTGGGATGATGGGATGAGGTTCTATAGGAGGCAGGTAGCCCAGTTAGAAGACTATTGTGATAGTCTGGGAATATGTGGATGATGAGAGTCTGAAATCAGTCATGAATTTTGGAAAATATTTGAAAAGTATTTAGAAGATACTATAGAACAAATTAGGTGACCAAAATATATTTATACTACTTTATAGTTGCCAAAATCCTTTAAGTGTGCATGTTATTGGATATTATCAGTAACCCAGAAAAGTAGGTAGTTCAGATGGATTGATTTCCATTTTGTATGAGGAAATTGAATCTTGAAAGATGTGGCTTAGCCCTGGTCACATAGCTAGTGATAGTTTAAGCATGAACCAAATCATAAGCTTCAAATTCAGGGTTCCTTTTAATTTGTCTGCATCATCTCTATGCAGTGCTTAAGCATACATTAGTTAATATCAAGGCCTAATCATGGTGGGGTGTGCGTTTTAATTTATTCACTTAATATTTCTCTTCATTAGTTATGTTAAGTGCCTAATGGAGAGGGATAGGATCAATTAAATAAGGTAAATGCAACATTTTACAGGTCAATGTAAATACCTAGAATGTGCTTTTCAATTAAGACGACATGTATGCCAGTGCTTTTTTAATATATGAGAATGGTTATGACATTTATTCCTATTTTATTGGAAAGTCTATTGCATGGGACTTGATAATAGTGTCAGGCTGGTATCAGAGACTGTGCTTACTGCAATCAGTGTTAAAGATCAGTATATAAAGAATCCTTACTTAACATGTACCATTAAATTGATTTTGTATTAGGTATTATAGAGATATTATAGATTATATCTCTACAACATCTTCCTTCTTTTTACCCATAACCTCTAAAAGGTTTAGTGCCAGAAGGAACAGAACTGTATCTTTATTTTCTCATCACATCCTCTCTCAAATAGATAATACTTTCATTGCTCTCTTTCCAACTTGGCTTTGAGTCACTGCTGTGATTCTAGCTGTTGAACAGTCTTTCAAATTAAGTGATTAGTATTCTAGTCAAGGAAAAATTGTTGTGAGCCTGCCATTCTTACCCAGTATTGTTAAGGTAGTTTTACTAAATCTATTATTAGGGTCATGTTCTCAGAGGCATATGACTATTGGGTTTCACAAAACTTCCCTAAATATTGATACTTGAGATTTACAGGAAATTAAATCTAAAACCTTACACTTTTGAAGCTGGAGGCACCAATAAGCTGCTGAAGTTCAGTATAAAGCCACATCTGTGCTCTTTAATACTTTATAAGAAAAGTTTCTCTGCCTTAGTCTTCCTTTACTATTTTTGTCTTTATTGATTAAAATTTTGCTGTTGTATTAACTAATAAATTCAAAGGAAATGTTCTGATTAGTTTCTGTCATAACTGGGAACGATAGTAAGAGTACCTTGGAAAGTATGATAGTCTGTTACGTAACACTTGCTAGGTAGTAGATATGAGTTCTCTGCCTGACTATTTCAATCTCATTGTATCTAAAGGTGTGAACTTCTTACCATCTGGATACTTTAGTTTCCCTCTAAATTAAAAAGAAAAAAAGCAAATCTTACCTGTATAGTACCTAATTCAAAGGTTTTTGAAAGATGATGGGAAGTCATTAAAGTGCTTTTCAACAATTTATGCTATTTACTAGTTTAAATTTGTAACTATTTAAAAACCATTAGTTTTAAAAAATATTATTTTAAAATAGTAATATATTGTTTAATATTTAAAAACATTGGATCTTTTAATATATTTCACTGCTTGGTATTAGAATTTTTTATTTTTAGAATAGAGTATATTTAAAGATGACTTTTGCTGTTAAATTTGACAGGCATGGCAGGAGGCCAATCTAGTAAGCCCAAAGGGAGAATTCGCAGAGTATGTAGGTTAAAGGAGCCCTGGAACTGACTTTCTGTGAAGCCCAGCCTACCCATACACATTCCTGCAGAGTGGAGATTTGCTTAAAGTTGACTGTTTTCTTCCTTCTGTACCATCTGATTCAAATCTGCACCTGTCTTTTAAAGCTAGAGACGGTTGGATGGCAGCTTAACCTTCAGATGGCTCACTCTGCTCAAGCAAAACTAAAATCTCCTCAAGCTGTGTTACAACTCGGAGTGAACAATGAAGATTCAAAGGTAAGAAATGGTATCCCATTAAAAGGATGTATTTTGTTTGTTGGGACTTAAACTTTTTATTCTTAGCAGTCTTTGCTCTCTGGATTTAAATTTTAAACATAATTCAGTTAAACAATTATTAATAAGTGGATCTTTTTTGACAGATTTTGATGTCAGATATAAATATCACTGTTATTTATCTCAAGAAATAGCTTATCTTGCAAAGTGCCTTTCATACAAAAACATTTCATAATGTCTTCTTTTAAATTCTGCAGTGAAAAAAAATTGGTGAAGACCACATAAAATCATGATTTTAATGTTTTAGGTATTTGCGAATATTCCTGAGTGTTTCATGTTTTAAGCTGAATATATATGGTAGAGGGAATATTGTTTGCTGTCCAGCTAGTGCCTGGAACAATAAATATGATGGAGACCTGAATTGTATTTTTGTGTGTAGTAGTAGTATAGTATGCTTGCATGTGTTTAAATCCCAGCTTTTGAGAAATAGAATTTTTTTTTAATACCACAGGGTGATTTTTACTTTATTATTAATTTCAGAACAACTTGAACATGATTATTAAAGATCAAAGCATTGCTATGAAATAGTTTTTGTTACTGCAACATACAGGGAAATATGTCTTTCAGATATGACAAGAGCTTTTTATCATATTTTATATTGTAATTGATTATCTTTTAAGATAGAAAAGGGGGAGTGACTTTTTCCTCCTAAGTAGATAAGACTATCTCATCTTCAGACAAAATAGAATTGAGAATGAGGTATTAGAGAATATCTGAGGAAGGAGATTACAGTGACTGAAGTGATAATAGAATAATGGAAGAAATGTTATTATTAATAACAGGAATTGAAGAATGGGAATATTATTACTTTTTTGTTAAAACTTTCACTATTCATTCTATTATGCATGTTTCTGGCTTCTTTCAGAAGTACCTAGCCCAGGTTATATGACAATAAAATTCTGTGGAATTGACTTGAGTCTTATATATAATGTATTAGTTTATTACAGTGTTTCAAAAGTATCATTTTATTTCACAGATTTTCGCTGGAAAGTAATATGAACTTAGTGGTTAGAGTCAAGCTGTTAGAGTATGTCTAGTGGTTTCCCTTTATCTGCAGTTTCACTTTCCGTAGTTTCAGTTACCCATTGCTGTTTGAAATAAGTGAGTACAGTACAGTAAGATGAGAGAAAGAGACTACGTCCACATAACTTTATTACACTATGTTGTTATGGTTGTTCTATTTTCTTATGACTTTTGTTAATCTCTTACAGTGCCTAATTTATAAATTAGACTTTATCATAAGTTTGTGTATATGGGAAAAAACAGTATATATTGGGTTCAGTATTATCCATGGTTTCAGGCCTCCACTGGGAGTTTTGGAATATATCCTCCCACCGTGGGCAGGGAGACTACTGTGTGCTCTGCAGTTTAGTGTAGTGTAACCTTAGGCAAATTACTTAATCCTTGATTCTCAGTTTCTTTATCTGTAAAATATAGGTAGCAGTATCTATCCACACAATCTTTATGAAGACTAAATACCTAGTATATGTAAAGTGTTTAGTCCAGTGCCCAGTAGTACAGCATGTGCTCAATAAATGCTGGCTGCTACCATCATCATCAATAAAACTGTTTTGCTTCTAGCTAAAATAAAGAAATCAATCCATTTGTTTTAATTCAAAGTTCTATTTCCTGATGAAATTATTACCTCTTCCCTTGTTCCTTGCATTCCCTCTCCCCCTTTTTTTTTTTGATTATATTTTTCATATATATCCTTACTGGAAATTAGGGAGGGGAAAAGGAGCCTGGAAAGTCCCTTTTATTTCTTCTGTGAACTGAGAAAGGTATTCCTTTAGGTGTAGGATGATGATCTGGAACTCACTAGTGTAGACTGGAACTATTCCATGAGTGAAAATACATGCATACATGCACATTCCAAGTAGCTATATACTTCCTCTGTTTTACTTTTCGTGACTACCTAACGTTAAGTCTACATAGCTAAAAGCATTTTATATGTTGGAAGTATACTATTTTGACCACATACATTGGATATGCTTTAAGCATCATGAGTTCAGCAATGCTTGTCTTTGGGATTCTCAAGTCCTCCTAACTTCTTTGTTACATCTTCAAAATATGCCTATGTGTCTGTTATATTTTTAGGCAGTAGGAATAAAAGAATAATGCTGCTTGTAAGACAGCCATGTTAATAAGACATTCAGATTATTCAGGAAGATGTGAATATCTAGATGTGAAATCTAACTCATTTGAAATATGAGCTTGAGTACATTTAAGTTTTTCTGTGTGTTTGTATTTTGAAATTTTGAATACATGTATATATGCATCTTGATTAATCTTATAACTTGCAGTTCTAGAGCACCGTTTTCATTAACAAATATGCTGAGGAAGAAGAGCAGAAGCACACATACGTAAAAGATATTTCCCTTTCATCTTGTATGTAGACTTAAGTGACTTCTTTGTATTGCCTTTCTCTTTTATGGCATTGTACACATTTTGTGCCTGTGTCTTTTATCTCCTAAAAAATAGACACATAATGAGGTATAGAGCTACCATCACCTAGGCAGAAACATACCATCTGCAAGTGATACGGTGTGCCCTAGCTATAAAGGACCGGTTAACTACTATACCTGTTTTCCTCAGTGTACTGCTGGCTGGAATTACTGCTCTTTCTTGTGTTTACCTTCTCCTTGATTTTAGGATTTTGTATTCTGTTCTTTGTACTCTTCATCTTGTTCCTTATGTTAATTTTTATGTGACTCCTGTTATTAAGGACTACTAACTACTTTTCTCTCAAATATTTACTGTGTTATGAAATGAGAATTCTTCACAGGTTGGAATATTAAGTAAAAGGAATGAGGGTATAGAGCATGTTTTAAAAAACAAGTTTATTAAAGGAAAGGAAAGCTTTTACCAAAAGGGAGATTAAATGTTATCACTGCTTAGTTTAGGATATAAAGTATCTTAAAGTACAAAACTGTCATACTTATGAAGTTGGTGTTTGTTTAAAACAGGAAGCATTGAGTACAGTTCTCACAAATGTGTATTTTACAGGGTAGTTATCCTGAAAATATACATATATTAAACTATTGGGAGGATTAGAGTGACTGTAAATTGTGAGGGAGTATTTTGGTGGTGTTTACTTTCGAGCTGTTGAACTGAAAACTTACTGTAATTCACTGAAGAGTGTGGTTTATGAGGAGCTCCCTGTCTTCTTTTTCACTTCTAACATACACATGAAAAATGTAGCCTGCAGTGAAGTTTTAATTGCTATCACACTGGATAACACTGTTTGACTGTAGTCTCCTTTCTTAGAACACTTCTGTCTCGAGGCTTTCCTGTTTTGCTACTAATTTTATCACAAAAACTGGGTGATTGTAGCTTTCCTGCAGTATTTTGATATGTATTCTAGTTGTTTTTGGTTAATTGTCTTAGTGTTTGTCTACTGTGTTTAGGAAAGTGAGATTATTTTCCTGTTCCACAGATACCTCAAATTGAGTTTTCTGACTTAAAGTTTTTTTCATTAGGGGGCAGTAGAGTGCTTTGCTTACCGAGCCTTTTCTGGCATTCACAGTGTTATCTGATATAACATTCAAAATAATTTGTGAAGTCAGTAGTTGAAGGAAATGCTAAGTGTTTACATTTCTAATCTGTATAGAACAATAGAGTTCCCTTATTTATTTCCATAAACAAAATTAGTGCTTATTAATCATTTATGTATAGAACAAATAAATGAAATCATCATGATTTGACTTTTGAAATTTGTATATGATCATTTGCCAAAATGAAATATATTAAAAGCTTTCTACATTATTGACTTTTTTGTTACATTATGTCACTTATATTAATTTCTTCATGAGAAAAAAGATAAAATAGTCCATAAGATAATTGAATGGCACTATTAGGTTATGATGTAACTAGTTCTAGGCCCATTGTAGTTTTATTTAGAGAGAGTAATGTCATTTGTAACAAATGTTGATAATATTGTCTGACACCAACACTTTAACTTTGAATATCTTAGAATACTTTAATTTTGCTATTAATCTTTGTACACTTTTTCCCCAGTAAATTTCCTGTTAAAGACAAACCTGTTTTGTTAATACAGGGATTCCAAATTTTATTTGTACATCTTTGAGGAAGGATCCTTCTGTTTCATTTTTTTTTCTTTTGCAATAACTGTGGTAAAATCACCCTGACAGAACTTTTATTTATCTTAATGTTAAATTAGATTATAATCAGGTTGCAGAAAGTACTTTATGTAAAAGTAATTATGATTTTGAATGAATTTGGGACTCTTAATACTAATTTTCTGACTTAGAGCTCTTCATTCTTATTCCCAAAATATGTGACAAATTCTGTTTAGTGTGAAAAAAATGGGCAAAAGTTCTTTTTTAAGTGTTTACTCTGTGCTATACATGGTATCACCTCTTTTTATGTTTAAAACATCTCTTCCAGGTATGATTTCTTATTATTTTTATTTTATTGATAAGTGGAAATGTAGAAGCACAGAGAAGTTAAATAATATTCCCAAGTTATACAGATAGTAAACAGTAGACCTAGGGTTTGAATCCAGGCAATTTTATTTGAGTTCCAGTTTATCAGTAGGATGCTGTATCATCTTGTTAATTTAATAACTTAGCAGTTGATCTTGTAATATGTGTATATGTTTCAAGGTGTTGAAAGCTATTCTAAAATGTAAGGTTGTTCATAGGATTATAGTTACACGGATTCTAGATTTAATTTTTCTCTTTCCTCTTTATTTGACTAAGTTGAAACAATTTTACATTTTTAGTCCATTAGAAACACCATTTACTCTTATGTAGTAAGTAAAGTTATAAATGATGTCAGTTCAACAGAGGCTGCCTTTTATTAACAAATATTATTGTAAGGGCTACATGACATCAATGATGTTAATGTCTTGTGAGCAAGTAAGCTATATCAGTTAAAAAGAAAAGATGCCCTCAGATCTATTTAGGACAGATTTCTCAGAG